TATATATATATATATATATATATAGCATTCAGATGTAAGTCAGACTGATGGAATATGCTGCGTTCTCTCCCCTCTGTATTTACAGTATGAAGAGTGAACCTTTTGCACATGTGAATGTTTTAAAGCAACATGCGTAGGAGAGCAGAGAAAAAACTTCCACCAGCTGGCTCCAGACAGTGTGTGGGATTTTTTCACTTCCTGTTAGATGTTAAAACTACTTACAGTGTTGTACAATTGCTGGTATTAAAGTCTTAAATTGAAACTAAAAACCGAATTAAATAATAATAATAATGATTTAAATATTATTGTCTATAGACTGATGGGGTACTTTAATGTTTAGGGACTTTAAGTAGAGATGAAATGTGCGCTCATCAAATGAGTTTGTCTGTCAGGAGGAGCGGGTCGTTATTATTCATGTCCCCTCAGGTGGTCATAAACCTCGGGATGCTGATGGAGGAGGTGGAGCTTCGAGGATCCCCCTCCCTCGCTATGATCCTGGTCAACTGCTTCCAGCTGCTTTATGTAGCCGATGCTCTGTGGAACGAGGTGAGCGGAGCAGCAACAGTTTGATTTCTGACCTGATTCAAGTAAACTGGAGGCACTTCCAGCCTTGTTCTAATACTCCCTAATATTTCAGTGTTTCCTCACTGTTTGTTTACCAGGAGGCTGTTCTGACAACAATGGATATTGTCCATGATGGTTTCGGTTTCATGCTGGTTTTCGGTGACCTGGCTTGGGTCCCCTTCACGTACAGCCTGCAGGCTGCCTTCCTGGTGAAGCACCCACAGATCCTGAGTCTGTTCAAGGCTGCGGCCATAGTAGCTCTGAACGGTGAATGATTTATTCATTAGAATAAACAGTGTTGTTTTAAGATGCACTTTAATGATGGATGTGTTTGTGTTTGCCTTCAGGTGTTGGGTATTACATTTTCAGGAAGTCCAACTCACAGAAGAACCAGTTCAGACGAGAGCCGACTCATCCGAGTGTTGCAGGTCTTTTGTTTTCATCAAATAAAACTAGTTCTTATTCCTTAGAAAGCCTCTCAGCTCGTTCTGTTTCTTTATCAGATTAAAAAAGCTGACATGGAGTTAATCTGTTCATGTTTTGCCCAAAATCATCTGAATTCTCCCCCACGGCTCCTTTCAGGCCTGGAGACCATTGCCACAGCGACGGGGAAACGGCTGCTCGTCTCAGGCTGGTGGGGTCTCGTTCGTCATCCCAATTACCTCGGTGACCTCCTTATGGCGCTGGCGTGGTCCCTGCCATGTGGTAAGTCAGTTTAAAAGCTCCCCACCTGGCTCATTTTTTACAATCAAGCCTCACTCATGCAGTTCAGTCACAAAGGCTCTTTATTCTGATGTGGATGACATCGTGCAGGATTAATGCCAAATAGGAGCTAAACCACATCAAAGCAGGTTTATTTTTAGATCTGATACTGCTTGTTTAAGGTAACCTCAAAGTTTACTTTGATCTGCATCTGAAGCCGAACTTAACCTCAAGTCTAGAACTGCAGGCAGTTGTCCAATGCAGAGTGTGCTCCTCACTGTGCCACTCTGGTGGTAGGCTTTTATAAAATGAAGTACAGTTACTCAGGAAGCTGTTATGAATTTTGCATCAGAAACGTTATGGATGTGTGTTTATATTTATGTTTATCTGCTAACATGTAAAACCTTTATGAATTAAATTAGTTTATTTTAGCAAATATTATTTTCTGAACATCCTTTTATCGTGTGTCTTTTTCAGTGGTACATAAAACTTTTTTTTCTGATTGGCCTTAAATTTAAGCAGTTGTCAGATGATATTTGAGCAAAAGTGGTAAAGTAAACTTATATTGACAAAAACATTCATTTCAACAATTTTATCAATATTAACTACTTGATGGTGCAGCTTTAATTTTACAAGATGACCAGATACCCAGTGTGTCTGTGTTCAGCACCATGGACAGCGCACTAAGCACATCAAAGAACAGGCAAAGTTCCCAGTTGTTGTTGTAACTTCCTGTGTTGCTAACTTCTGAACTACAAGAGATATTGCACATCTGATTGCAGCAATTGATCTCTGAGACAATTCTGGCCTACTTTGAAATGCTACATGACCCTCTTCTCGTTGGAAAATTTTGACTTTGATCCAATACGGTTGCTTTCAAGATGGCGGCCATGTTCTGGACATAGCCTAAAGATAGACTCCCCTCACCCATTACTTGTTGGGGTATTCAGATATTTCATTTTCCCATTGGTTTCTGAAATAAAAGGCTGTCCTGGGTATTTTGACTCACTCTGTGTATTAAATATCTTATACACACTAGGGTTGTGTATTGGCAAGAATTAGATGATATGATTCATGTCTTTTTTATTTATTTTATTTCATTCATAAATACAAAATATCCATTAACAAACTAAGTAAATCAATTACTGAATGAAAAGAGTGCAAAAAGAAGAATAACATCTTATTATATATGTCCCCTATAAAAAAACAACTTCAAACAAACAACAGCTTAAGCTTGAACAATCTATAACAATATTGTCTTAAAATTGATAAGATGTGTACACTTTTGCTTGTGGATCCCTTCTTTGTGTTCTAATAATGGCTGACATGTTTGCACTATGGAACAAACAGTGCAGCAGTGACAGTAGGAGTCTGATAATTAGGGGTCTAAACCTGCAGAGGCATTAATAATAAAGAACAGAACCGTTTCAATCCTCTGTTAGCGTGGAAACGTTGTGTTGCAGCTGTGCTCACCTGCCCCCACATGTTCGATTCATGATAGAAATGTTTATCATGAAAAAGATGATTGTAGGTTTTATCTTTCCCACAGGTTGTTTGATGTTGCTCCACTTCTGTTTTATAAAAGGAGAAATTTTTAACTTGAGATATGTGAGATTCTGTTTTACACATACACAGGGTTTTTCACAGGGTAAATACTTTAAATACCTTGAAAAAGCATTTAATGTTCTGTTGAACCACAGCAATTTATTTTTGTGAAAGTAATAGTATTAGAATAGTAACTCATGCAAGTTTGAATTCAGTGATTATTATGCTTATTAATTTGTTAAATTCTTTTTCAATCACTTTATAACTATACACTTTTTATGTAGGTTAGAATGAAAATGTGGAATTCAAAAACAAAAAAAAAATAATTGAAAATTTTTGATTTTGGAAAAGCCCTAAGAAACAGATTTCATAGGACCCAACAAAAGCTCAAGATAGCAAGGGTCTTTATTGAAGCATTGGTTGACATCTGAACAGTGTTGCATGTTGTTAGAAAATTCATTATAATCCAAAAAACCCAACTTAAGACAACTTTCTGGTGCTTTTATACTGTACATCCTACATACCTTCTCGAACAATATTCTCAACAGTTCAGTCCATAAAACGCCTTTTCCATATTTGATAGGGATGCAGCTCTGCATTCTACTTTTTTTCTTGACATTACGAAGTTTGACCAAAACCTCTATGTGGACTTCTCATCATCACCTCCAGCTTAAAACTCTGTCATGAACAGTGGCAGGGGTAGATTTGCATTACTTCYAGGAATYCTAGGCCTGATTTTCCAGATGAAATGGAGCAGAAAGGTTTGTCAGTCTGTTCACACACGAAGCCTCTTGTGATCTGGATCCTCTCATGTAGGTCAAACCCTGTCATGTAAACTTCAGCCCGTCTCTTCTGTTGATGGATGACATTCAGATTCCTCCGTGTTCCTGTGATCAGTGTTTGAACATCAAACTGCAATTTGTCGTCCAGCCCCGGCCAGAGTCCACTGAAATATTGACACATTACTGTTTGTTTTGAGTTTGTTCATTTAAAGCATTCAGGTGAATATACTGTCGCAGCCTGTAAAGTCGGTTTCATGTATTGATTACGTCTAGCATAAAGATCAATACAGCCACTTAAGCTACAAAGTTTAATGTTACCCTTTTGTTTTCTTGAAAATGTTGCATTTTCTCCTTTACTTCAGTTTGTCCAGTCTCCTGCTTCAGTCTGATGTTGTTTCACATCTCAGTTGACATTTAACTAATTGAGCCTTAATACAAAAGTTTCTTTTGAGCATCTTGTTTTAAACAAACATGGACTCTGTTTGATTTAAGTTTAATCAAAAAATGAACTACTCTGTTACTTCAAAACTTTGCTCAAGTTATTCCAAATTGTTTCCAGTTTGTAATTGTTCATTACCAACTGAAATCGTTTTTAGGACAGTTTTTTTTAATATAAATATACAAAGTGATACAGAGTGATTCTTCTATCCACCGCTTAATGATAATCAATGAATCTKAATGGCAAATTTTCCTCCAAAACATTTTAAACCAACAATAATGTTTTAGTTCAGTCTCTTTTAACAGTCAACCATGTCATTTACAAAATACCATCCATCCATTATCTTCTTAAAAAAAGTTTTTTTTCCTTGTTCTTGCCTCGACTGCTGTAATGCACTTCATTCAGAGTTAGTCAGTACCCTGTTATCACCTCCATTTGGTTCAATGTTCTGCAGCCAGACACTTATTCATGACTAAAAACTATTTCCCACTCCGCCATAGCTCTCGGGTCTTCTATTGTTTTTTAAAAGCTTTCTTCTCACCTCAGAAAGCCTTTAACGACCTTGGCCTTTTATACAAAAACAGACTTATTGTATGTTGTCGGTCTGGACCGCTGAGATTCAGAAACGGCACCCTGCTTACTGTTCCCAGGTCAGTTTGGAACAAACAGCTCTACCTTCTCCATTAAAAATGTTTTTTTAAGTTAAACTGACCGGCAGCTAAGCTGAAAAAAATTATTAGCGCGTGAGCGTATCATTCAATCGATCAATACCAAGATGATGTCTGATCAATTAGTACTTTTGTTTACACTGACTTTATTTGTCACAAATGTGTCAGTAATGGAGAATCTCCAAATCATATGGAGTTGGGGTCATTGACCGAAATCCTTCTTTGTCATGCCTGCATACAATGGAAGTTATTATTTGTTGAGTCGTTGAAATTGTTATATTTGTATTTGTGTTACATTGTTTTTTATTGCTGGAGTTAGTTAATAGAAAACATTTTTCTTTCCCTAAAATCTTTCTCTTGTACTTTATCATATTCGACTAACTAAAAACAAAATCAAAAAAATTATTCATTGAACATTTTGTAGAAGTAAAAAGTATCTGAGAAAATTGCTCTGTATTTACTTGATAGGGGATCTATACCAAAATTCCCACTATCGCCTACCCCTAGTGACCATGAGATAATAATGTGTGGCCATAAGATAGTTAGTGCAGTCTCATGCAGAAAATGTTGATTGTTCACAAAAATAAATTAGAATAAATTTACTTTCATTTTAATGTAGGGATAAATGACACACTTCAGTCACTTGTGGTTAGGCATAAAATAAATCGAAGTATTATATGTTGCAGCTATAAGACAATGGTCACGACTGGAGTTATATTTTTCCAAAAAGCTTTACTGTCGTTTTTCTTTTTCTTTTCTTTTTTTTTTTTTTGAAGCCCAACACTCAAAACAGGCTCCTCTCTGCTTTTGCTGCAGAAGGAGTCAGAGTTATGTCACATTCAGGTACACAGTAAAAACAACAAGTTTCCAGTCACACATTTAGTCCGTTCAATGTCATCTCTTAAATACTATACTATGAAAAATGAACACTTAGATTGAACCATGCACTATTACTACCGGTATATACTATTTGAATTAAACATACACAAAAAATAAATAAATATTAATAGTAATAATAATAATTGTTTGGTACCTTTGAATAGTTCAACACTAAAATAAAGTATTCATATATAATCTGACTCCAGTAAGGTTTGTTTCTCTCTCAGGAACATGGATGCTCAAAATGATTTTGTGGCCACATATTAATATTATTAAAATCCAATGTCACTGCATGGGTTCCGTATGTATCTGCATTAAACCAAACTTAAAACTTTCCTTTAAGTGAAAGCCTTTGGCAGTGTCTGATATTTTTTAAAACATTTGTTGTTGTAGTGAGCGTATAACAAACTTGAATCCCTTTTTCTTGTGAAGCACTTCAACAATTTTAAGAATATTTCATTACAATTATCGTTATTTCTAATTCATTTAGCCCAACAGTTTCATAATTCAGTTTTTAATTAGTTAATTATGGTTGATTTTAAATTGTGAGGTAAAAAATAAAAGTTTACATTTTGCCTTATAATTAACAGGACAGTTTGTTCCTTCTGTAAACWGCCTTGTGTTTCCTCAATCAGCCCCTAAAACAGTGGCTGTCAGACTATTGTTACAGTTGACTCTTTTACCTCTCATTGATATTCAGCTGAAAGTGACTCARTGGTGTAGCTGCCTTTGTAACTGAGAGGTTTAATGTAGTTTCTGTCTTAATCYTGGCTGCTAAAAGAAAGAAAAAAATCACTAACTGTATAATTATGTACWTAGAAAAAGAAATCCATGACAGCATGTTATAGACAGATGAAAAAAAAAAATCAATGAAACAACGACACAGAAACAAAAGCTGTAAGTTCAGTCTCGACAAAATGACCGTCGAGATMAATCAACACTGAACTTTAGGYGCTTAATCAAACATCTATTCACTGCAAAGCTTTTCCACAATACAGATGGAGGAGAAAATGTTCAGCTCTGTGCAGAGGAGGGTGCAACACTTGATTACAGCTTGTTTGCTGCAAGTTCACATTATGCACACTTGTGTCAATCATAAAACAGGGTGCGGTTCATCAGGGATTAATCATAAGCATATCATACATATTATAGTCTGCTGTGGACTTTATTATTTTGGGTCATTTATGCTCCTTAAAATCTGTTCTTTTTTTGTAGGATTTTCACATATTTTGCCCTACTTCTACGTCATTTACTTCACCATCTTGCTGATTCACCGAGAYGCTCGGGATGAGAGACAGTGTCGGGCCAAATATGGACTGGCCTGGGACACCTACTGTCGTCGCGTCCCCTACAGGATCTTCCCATATATTTACTGAAAATGACAACACTCAGGAGAAARAAAATTGACACACACCCTTTTCTCAATTTACGTTTATTTAAAATGTAAATCCAACTTGTCGGTATYTTGACCAAAGGTCTGCTACTCATATCTGCACAGTGAGATTATGGTCCTGTCTACACTGCTTTAGAAACTTTTAAAAATTATATATTTTAGTCTATTTTTTTGCTTGTTTTTGTCCACACAGGTCCAACGAAAATGATGAAATACTCATGCTACACCACTAGGTGGCGATATACCCACATAAACAACATGAAAAAATAAAAATGTGCTTAGCGCAGAAAAAAATATCTCAAAACCATTTAGGGTTATAGTTTGTCAACACAAGAATGMTTTTTGTGGCTATGCCAAAATTTTATACAGTTTTAGCCTTGCGTTCTCTATAAAGCAGATTTTAGGAGCCCCAAAATGTTAAATCAAGAACAGGTTCCAAAGTGATACCGTCATAAAACACCACCCTTGTGTTTTTAGTCAAAACTAACCTGTTATTTAGTGAGCAGTATGTGCTTTTGACCCTTCTAACATCCCAAAGCACTAACTAGCATCCCAGTCCTCGTGAAGCAGACCCTCTCAGCTGCAGTCAGCAGGACATGTTGYCCCCRGCATGTCCAGAAGGCAACTGAATTACGCTGATGATGATGTCATTTTTTGACTTTTACGACTTTTAAYAGCTACTTTCCTTACTGGTGGGTTSGCAACATTAGTTGTGTTTACATTTAGCACCCAGCATGCAWWTGCTCCATGCCTTGTTTCCTGTTTTAGGTGTATTTTCAAGGCAGCATTACAGTGCCCCATACAGGACTGGCATAGGTACTACAATAGTTTAGCTCATTTCCTTGTGGCTGAAGATATTTCTAGAAATGGTGCCGTGTTTATGAAAGTGTTTTATCTAATAAAAAATAATTTTAGGAAAACTACATTTCTCTTTCTATAATGCTCAGCGCTTRGTATATCAAATCCCCATGGATAGACCGAAAACAAAACTTTTAAAAATCAGTTTCTCTCTTCAGAACCTGGGTGTGTGGACAAGAAATCGCTGTTTTTAAAAATATCTGAAGTTGTGTAGACGAGGGCAGCCCTATTTTTTTTCAATATCTGCTCTGAAAAGTTGAACAAATCTGTAATTATCAGTGTGTTGTTGTTTTAATTACTACCTCTGCCATAGCATTTGTATTACATTATTTTTTGGTGAAGTGTATTGTTTATTAAAAACATTTACAATAAAAGCAAAACAGTAAAGGCATTTTTAACAGCTTAATTTGTGTTTATTTTAGACCTTTTTAAACTCTGCAGCTTTCTTTTTWAAATTATTGTAGCTGATAGACTGACACAGGTGTAAGTTATTAACTACCACTGGCACATCCTGTACAGCTGGCACCTGATAGCCTTGTCAAGTTTTAATAACTTTTTTTATCACCATCTTGATTAAATGGATCCAAATCCTGCTGGATTTTCTGTCAGGRTTTTGCTTTGAATCTACTCGGCTCTAAATTACTCCTGAGAACAAAATGTTCGGCACTTTAGGACAATCAGCAGGTAAAAAACGTGTTTCCTTCCACAACGGCCTCAGTTCGACCTGCAGCACTGTTCCTCTTCTGCTCTTATGCTTCGGTTTGTTTGTGACCTTTTGTTTTGTTCTTCACACAGACTGAAAGCCCTCGTCTGTAAACAGGCGAAGCAGCYTTATTTTTGAAATGTTTGCCCCGTTTTCCATTAAAATTCACCTCACATTTTCTCTAAATTATGCGTCTCTCATGCGGAGCTGGACGTGTGCGAGCAGACAACAGAGCTGATGCACTTTTCATTTTTCACCTCTTAAGCCTTTTTTTTGCAGCACAGTTAGCCTCTGGCCTCGCCTACACATGCTATTTTCTCGTTTTTCATACGACAAGTAATAATTAGGAATGTGCTTATATAATGGGAGGACTGTCTACAGGATGTCTATGTTTCGTAGCTTTTTACATGTCCGTGTGCTTGTATTTAGCTAATTTCTCTTATATCAACCACCAACAGGGCAAAAAGGTGATAGTGTTTTTTGTGTGTCTGTTAGCAAAYTATCTCATGAAGCACTAGATGGATTTCAGTGAAACTTTGAGACAGTAATCTTTAGGTAGACAWCTACAACTAWTTCACTTTTGGAGTCGTTACAAWTCAAGATGGCCGCCACAGTTAATCGACCTTAGCGGACACAAAAACAGTTCTAAGTTTGTCAGTTTTGCAGATATTCAGTWAAGATTGGGTGAGYTGATAGCTGAGACTTGTCCTCATCGGATACTCTGAGGGCTTCATGTTGTGAAAMAGATTTGCTCAAAATTTTGGCATTAAGTGGTTAAGTCAACCCTGTTTCTCTGTTAGCAAAATATCCCAGGAATCAATCATTGGATTTTAATGAAAGTCTTAGAAATTTATTATTGAGTTGACATTTACAATCAATTACATTTTGGACTCAACCCAATTAAACATGGATGTCACACTAAAGTGATCTTAGCAACAATTACAATTCCTGTAACACTATAAATTTTACAGATATTAAGCTGAAATTTGTTTTTGTCATAGCTGAGACTGATCCCCACACATCCATTTAGACTAAATATTGTCTTATATAAAGCAGCCCTATCTAAGATTCATACTGAACACTTGCAATGAGATTGTTAACTTCTACTCCACTACTTGTTCTACATATTAAAATATTTTGGATTTTTAATAAACCACCATCATCATTAGTTTCATCAGCCTATCATCAGGAATGCAATTAGTTATATTTTCTAAGGTAGAAAAAAAGAACTAAAGTCTCTCTCTCTCTCTCTCTCTCTCTCTCTCTCTCTCTCTCTCTCTCTCT